GATGGTACTAAAACGGCTCTGTAAAAATAACAAAATAATAAAAAGCGAAAGAGGAAAATAGGTAAAATAAAATTTAATGATAATGTCGAATAAAACAAATCAAACATCAGAAAAAGGACTCAGGGCTACATTAAACATAATAATTATAATAATTAGCATCTCTGTTATGATACCGAAAAACCTGCTATAGCGTAGTATAGGAGTATAAGTACTGAATGTATGAATCTATTATGCATGCAACTTTATTGGCTTTTAAAATAATACGTTTGAAAACATACACAATTAAACGCGTGTCAACATCAAAGCAGCCACTCTCTTCGCCAATTCTATCAGCATAACATGACCTGTGGACGGAGAAACATATTTGAATTGTTTTCTTGATACAACCATTCTTTTGATTATAGTTTAAGTTGATATCTTAACATGATTGGTCTAAAAGTTATAAAGCAGTAGCAGTAGCAGACACTGACCTTAGACCTATGAAATGCGCTAAATGAGGAGAACCAAATCGGCTGACTTAACACTCAGCATGTTTGTTGTGCATTTCCTCTCACCAAGTTGAAGATTTAGCCACTATTCGTTGGACATCGCGTAAGCATGATAATGACGTTAAACATGGCCTCAGCCACGCTTCTGTTGAAATAAACACTCGTCAAGAAAATTTACAAGATTTTACTGACATAAAAGTAACTGAAATTTCAAATATGTCCAACCCAATATCCTAATAGTATTTATTGAATTTTATGACTGCAATTTTAACCACAGTTTTTTCGACAGATTGCGTCACGGTAACTTGTTAACATTTTTGAGGAAAGGATGCTCAATAAGTTGTATCTATCTAGTTTATATGACAGGGACCTGCGAATTTGTTACAGCTATATTTGGACCTACACTATAAGTGTTCAGAGTAATTTAACATGTTTTAGGTGTTTATAAAGATCCCAGGTCTTTTGAAAAATACATTTTCGTCGGACTCAACAAAAGATATTTCCACTCAGGAATTCAATCATTCTCGTGATTTCCTCCTCAGCATAATTCAGATCGCCTTGGCCTTTATTCCTTCAGTTAAGCATGAGGTACATACAAGTGTGCAGAAGTGAAGAACAAATTTGCAGGAAAATGTTCATGATTGATGAAAAGGTCTTTTGAATTCTTCAAATTCTAAAGGATTTATTCCGTCTACTTTTAAAGCGTTACCGTTCGCCTGTTGTCCGGATTTAAAGGTGCTATGAGTAGGAAGTTTGGATAATGGGTTGATTGTGTAATTATAGATTTTTGTGAAGTTTCGAAAGCTCGAAAAATTGGAAAATGTGTGAGGAGGATTTTTCTTTCTTATCAATTAAGTGGTGTAGGCATAACTTTGTAGTTGGCAGCCAGGGGTCTACTTAGTAGATGCTACGTCTACCGACATAAACACTTGCTTGTCATATAGATCTTTAAGTGTGGTTTGGATATTGAGATCAAGAATTCATGTGTTTAGTTTCCAGTTTGGTTTCAAGCTCAGTATTCATTTTAGAAACATGAACCTGACAACTTTGAAGGGAAAGTGACTTGCACCAACCCCTTAAAGGAAGGCTGACCGACACAAAATGTCAAATGAAAGGTAAACTGACTCACATCAACCCGATACAGGAAGGCTGACACATAAAGGCCAATCGAAGGTAAAACGAATCACACCAACCCCTTAAAGGAAGGCTGACACATAACGGCCAATCGAAGGTAAACTGAATCACATCAACCCCTTGAAGGAAGGCTGACACATAACGGACAATGGGAGGTAAACTAACTCGAATCAACCCCTTAAAGGAAGGCTGACACATAACGGCCAATGAAATGTAAACTGAATCACATCAACCTCTTAAAGGAAGGCTAACATAATTATAACGGCCAATCGAAGGTAAACTGAATCACACCAACCCCTTAAAGGAAGGCTGACACATAATGGCGAAATGGGAGGTAAACTAACTAGCATCTACCCCTTAAAGGAAGGCTGACACATAACGGCAAAATGGAAGGTAAACGTACTCACATCAGCCCCTTAAAGGAAGTCTAAATTGACTCACATCGACCCCTTAATTAAAGGAGGCTGACACATAACAGTCAATTGAAGTTAAACTGACTCGCATCAACGCCTGATAGGAAGGCAGACACATAACGGCCAATAGTGGTAAACTAACTCGAATCAACCCCTTAAAGGAAGGCGGACACATAAAGGCCAATCGAAGATAAACTAACTCGCATCAACCCCTTAAAGGAAGGCCGACACATAACGGCCAATGCAAGGTAAACTGAATGACATCAACCTCTTAAAGGAACGCTAACATAATTATAACGGCCAATCGAAGGTAAACTGAATCACACCAACCCCTTAAAGGAAGGCTGACACATAATGGCAAAATGGGAGGTAAACTAACTAGCATCTACCCCTTAAAGGAAGGCTGACACATAACGGCAACATGGAAGGTAAACTAACTCACATCAACCTCTTAAAGTAAGTCTAAATTGACTCACACCAACCCCTTAATTAAAGGAAGGCTGACACATAACGGTCAATGGAAGTTAAACTGACTTACATCAACGCTTGATAGGAAGGCAGACACATAACGGCCAATAGGAAAACACCAAACATGAGCTAAAGATTTTTTAATATTCTCGTATAAATATGATAATAAAAATGTATATAAGATATGGAAACTTCATATTCGTATGAAAACAGCGACATTAAATTTGTTGTATACCTTTTGTAAAATATATGCTAAAAGTAAACTTTATCAAACATTGTATCTAGTATAAATTGGTGAACGATCATTTTCTTCTTTTATTCTTCCGGCTGCATTTCATTCTTGGCTTCCTCAGATTCCGAGTCTGCATTCTTTCGTGACTTGGTGACATTAGCGGGACAGCTTTTTGGTCTGTTGTCCTTATACGTGTCTCTGTAGGTGGTGTTATACTCCATCGTTTTGTTGTTGAATAGGTTACGGTGCTCAGAGGTCTGTCGGCATAGTTTGGCACGCTCCGTGTGGTGGCCTGGATTTTATACAAAGGTCGGGGTTATAGACAGCAACAATACAAATGCAGACAAAATACTTAACACACTATTCTCTCTGGTTAACATGTGCTTCGAAACCATTATCTTCATATTGTGAATCTCTGCCTCGAGCATTTCCTATAATATTGTTTCTTTAGTATGCTCTTAACAAATATAAGCAGTGCTCAGTAACATTGTCACGTGACCATGTCCAACTGACCTGTATAATGCGCACGCTGTGTAGACTGACAGATCATTTTCTCTTTGGGGGGCTCGTACACCTGTTTGGTAAGGAAGGACTTCGTGCATCCGCTAGTGAAATGCCCTGAAAGTTGTTCTGATAAGTGGTCTCCTGCCCCACGTCTCCGTCTACTTTTAAAGCGTTACAGTGCGCCTGTTGTCCGGATTTAAAGGTGCTATGAGTAGGAAGTTTGGATACTGGGTTGATCGTGTAACTATGGATTCTTGTGAAGTTTCGGAAGTTCGAAAAATTAAAGGAAGTCTGACACATAACGGCCAATCGAAGGTTAACCGAATCACATTAACCCCTTAAAGGAAGGCTGACACATAACGGCCAATCGAAGGCAAACTGAATCACATCAACCCGTTAAAGGAAGGCTGACACATAACGGCCAATCGAAGGTAAACTAACTCACATCAACGCCTGATAGGAAGGCTGACACATAACGGCCAATGGAAGGTTAACTGAATCACATCATCTCCTTAAAGGAAGGCTGACACATAACGGCCAATCGAAGGTTAACCGAATCACATCAAACCCTTAAAGGAAGGCTAACACATAACGGTCAAGCGAAGGTAAACTGAATCACATCATCTCCTTAAAGGAAGGCTGACACATAACGGCCAATCGAAGGTAAACTAACTCACATCAGCCCCTTAAAGGAAGGCCGACACATGACGGCCAATCCAAGGTAAACTGAATCACATCAACCCCTTAAAGGAAGGCTGACACATAACGGCCAATGGGAGGTAAACTGAATCACAGCAAGCCCTTACAGGAAGGCTAACACATAACGGCCAATCGAAGGTAAACTAAATCACATCAACCCCTTAAAGGAAGGCTGGCACATAACGGCAAAATGGAAGGTAGAAAGGCCGATACATAACGGCAAAATGGAAGGTAAACTTACTCGCATCAACCCCTTAAAGGAAGTCTAAATTGACTCACATCAACCTTTAAAGGAATCCTGACATATAACGGTCAATGGAAGTTAAACTGACTCGCATCAACGCCTGATAGGAAGGCAGACACGTAACGGACAATAGAGGTAAACTCACATTATATATCAACCCCATGAAAGGAGTTTAAGGTCTATTGGAATGTAGGCAGACACACAGCAGTCCAAGAAGTTAGTCTGACTGACTGCAGCTCATGCAAGTTCGATTGGCATACAACGACTCGTTGAAGGAAGGCTAGTATATATATAATATATCACTAATTCTAACACGATTCGTTTGCAACGCTAACATTTTAGCGTAGTATATTTGTTAAGGTGTGTTAGAATGGGGATAGTACGTTGTTTTTCGTGTCAATGTTCTAATCGCCAGTATTGCCACTCAAAACAACGTACTATCCCCAAATAATTGTTCAATGTACGCTGACCAAAGGCGACTCAAGAAAGGTAGTCTGATACAATCCCCACTTAAAGACCATGACAATGCAAGCTGACCCGTGGACTCGTTATTATTAAATATGATAGTATAACTTGCAATCAATCTTGTCTTGTTGGTGAACATGATAGATTAGTCAGGATACATATTGTCATTATATAGAGATACGAGTAACACTGACTCGGACTTTGTCACCATCCTAGGTGTCTAGACTGACACGATGACCCGATTTCCTTGGTGCTCTTCTGTTAAGCAGCTTCTTGGTTGTTTGTAGGTAAAGCCACTTCTCTAGTTTTCACTGGACTATTTCTACTGAGTTGTTAAAGGAAAACACCAAACATGAGCTAAAGATTTTTTAATATTCTCGTATAAATATGATAATAAAAATGTATATAAGATATGGAAACTTCATATTCGTATGAAAACAGCGACATTAAATTTGTTGTATACCTTTTGTAAAATATATGCTAAAAGTAAACTTTATCAAACATTGTATCTAGTATAAATTGGTGAACGATCATTTTCTTCTTTTATTCTTCCGGCTGCATTTCATTCTTGGCTTCCTCAGATTCCGAGTCTGCATTCTTTCGTGACTTGGTGACATTAGCGGGACAGCTTTTTGGTCTGTTGTCCTTATACGTGTCTCTGTAGGTGGTGTTATACTCCATCGTTTTGTTGTTGAATAGGTTACGGTGCTCAGAGGTCTGTCGGCATAGTTTGGCACGCTCCGTGTGGTGGCCTGGATTTTATACAAAGGTCGGGGTTATAGACAGCAACAATACAAATGCAGACAAAATACTTAACACACCATTCTCTCTGGTTAACATGTGCTTCGAAACCATTATCTTCATATTGTGAATCTCTGCCTCGAGCATTTCCTATAACATCGTTTCTTTAGTATGCTCTTAACAAATATAAGAAGTGCTCAGTAACATTGTCACGTGACCATGTCCCACTGACCTGTATAGTGCGCACGCTGTGTAGACTGACAGATTATTTTCTCTTTGGGGGGCTCGTACACCTGTTTGGTAAGGAAGGACTTCGTGGCATCCGCTAGTGAAATGCCCTGGAAGTTGTTCTGATAAGTGGTCTCCTGCCCCGCGTCTCCAGATGCCACATGACGTATTATGTCTTGGTTGTGCTTTGTTTTGATTGGAGACGGCGGTATATTGTTACCCGGATGTTTGAAGTTGACCTGAAACAAAACCCCATTTCATCATTTAGCATCAAGGAAATCGTTTTGTAATAAATTATTAATTTCTTCTATGATTTTGATAAAAGCCTATTGTAGTAACCTTACCGCATATGTGCTATCTGTCTGCATCCAGGTCTTAGGACGTTGGTACGCAGGTTTCACCGCCCATTTTGGCTTCTCTGGTAAGGTTACCGGCCACACCTTGTAAGCCATGCCAGCAGTCGTGTTGCCATCGAACGGGGCATCTATAAAGTGATAAGCCGACTCGGGAGGTTTACAGATTGTGCGCCTGCGCACATTATAATGAGGCCGAAAGTCAGCAGTAAAGGTTGTCATCAACCCCTGAAGTAGTGGCGTGGTGCTGGATTCCTTGGTTTCCGGCTTAGTCTCCGTTACGACAGTTTGCTCTCCACTGTCACCCTGGGGTTGTAGCGACTCAGGAAGCATCAGCTTGGTAACAACACAGTTTGTGTTAATCACTTTTCCTACAAATAAAAAGATGAATTCTGTTAGAGATAGTTTAAGTCGAATGAAATTTGAGACTGCTTTGGTGATGACATAGTTCAGACAGTATCTAAATGAAATTCATAAAGAAATATCATCAAAAATACATATTTGTTACCGACTTATAGTTTCCCATTCCAAGATGTACTTTATAACAAGAATATCTTACCATGATCCATACACTACTGTCGTTCTCTGGGTGAACACTGATAAGTTTAATATTGCATATCTGCCCGATCAGAACTAGCCTTTCCTTTTGTATTTCGGTAACCTCTGGTTTATTGTCACAAAAACAAAACGTCATGCTTGTAAACGTCAGATGTCAACCAGTTAAAGAGAGAAGCACTCTTGACAAGAGTTGGGCGGAATTTGGACAAGGACAGCTTTAAGTGAGGGTTAAGTCCGAGTTAGAATAGAATTATAGTTACTGACCAGAGCACGGTGACAGGATAAATTAGTTGAGCGTAGTTTGGACAAGGACAGAGTTAAGTGAGGGTTAAGTCCGAGTTAGAACAGGATTATAGTTACTGGCCAGAGCACGGTGACAGGATAAATCAGTTGGTTAAGTCCGAGTTAGAACAGGATTATAGTTACTGACCAGAGCACGGTGACAGGATAAAACAGTTGGTTAAGTCCGAGTTAGAACAGGATTATAGTTACTGACCAGAGCACGGTGACAGGATAAATCAGTTGGTTAAGTCCGAGTTAGAACAGGATTATAGTTACTGACCAGAGCACGATGACAGGATAAATCAGTTGGTTACGATGAGATGATTATTTACTACAGAAACAGGATTACTAACTTGAGTATGTGGGCAGGTCCTTCTTGGTGTAGAACTCTTTGTAGCTGGTGGTATCCTCCAGGGGCTCTGTGGACAGCTTGTTGTTCTCCTCGGGCTTGATTGGTTTCCTCTTCTCTGTATTCTCGTGCTTCTGGTAGTCGTTCTGGAACAGTCGACACAAAAATATGGCGGCAAAGATTTTTATTACATACCCGTTGAATCTAACTATCTAAGAAAAGTGACAACACCAGTTGTAAGTCAATGTATCACAAGCTTCCGTAATACATTGTAGAACACGTGCAATAAAAGAATGCTATTATAATGGAAGCATGATACAATGATTGAGAAAATCTAAATTATAAGCTGATTGATTTTCATGGACACATATTCAAATTGAAATTGATGAAATTATATACTGGCCTAGCCATTTCAAAAAGAAATCTAGAATATTTTGATGGTATCGGGGATATTATCTGATCTTCACTTAAACCAGGAGCAAAGTAATTCAATACAAAGTAATAATGGCGGTACCCTGAATGTGGAGGAAGGTGTTGCCTTACGCTCCCCGCCCCGTAGGGCTTCAGCTGGGCGGATCGGGGCGGGGCGACACTGCTTTGCTAGATCCGGTTCAAAGTGTTGGTAGGACATCTGGTATATGGACTCGCCCTTGAACTTGGTCACGGGGGCGCTGTACTCTTTATATGTCTTAAAAGGTTCTACCCGGAGTGCCACCTGCAACAAACCCGCGTGTCATTGAGAGGAAGCGGTTACAACTGAAGTAGATACTGATGAGTCTATGCAGTAGCAAGATGGACTCCTCCGCAGCACTCAAAATATCAGTTATTGTAAAACGCGTTGTTCCTTATGGCCTCCTGTGAATTAGGAACCGTTTTAGGCCCTTCTATTCGATAATTCTGCTTTAGTATGTTCCCCATATATATCATAGCATAAATCACTTGACCCCCCCC